TAATAAAATTAAAAGTTAAATATTAATTTTGTAATTATCGAAATATATATTATAATTTATAATGTAATTTATTCATACCTGCTTTAACTTTGGACCAAATGTAGTAGGCTCTGGACTAACTTTTAATTGAAAAGATATCATCGGCAATCTTGGTACTGCTTCCATTGTAGAATATTTATTAAAATATTTCTGAAAACTGACAGTTAATCATCTGTCAAACTTGTAGAAAATGGATTTGTTCACAGAACATACTTTTTCTGTCACGTACTTATGACGAATAATTGCCGTTTTTGGGCAGATATTCAAGTACAAAAATATTTTCAACTATATGATACAAATACAATATTTTTCTGAAATTTAAATATTATTTTAAAAAAATTTTCGATTTTTTTCACTAACTATAATAAAAAATTTATTTTAATAAGAAATTTAAAATATAATAATATATTAATTAAAAAAATATATGTTTAGGGAAATTATTTTCTGTATATTGGCTAAATAAGAATACATCTTACATTAAATATATTAAAATTTACTAACGGTTTATATCCGTGGAAAAAAATTAAAAATCGAAGCGATGTAATAAATCTATTATTGAAATATTTGTTTGTTCAAATAAATTCGAAAAATATATAATTATGAATTAAAAAAAATTAAAAAAAATTAAAAAAAAAAAAATTAAAAAAAATTTTTTTAAATTTAAAAAAGAATTATATAATGATGCAAAAATTAAAATAATGTGTTGCTTATTAAAATTTATTTTTGTAATTATTTTTGTAATAATTTTTGTAAATAAATGTAATTTACGTTTCAATTGTTTATATTCGTAATTATAGTCAAATACAAAGTATCCAATTGGTTGAGTATATCACTCAATTTTCAATATATAATTTTTCGCTATATATGTGTTTATATATATGTATGTATATATATATATATATACATATAGATATTTTCTTTGTTTTCAAATTACATATTAAATCAATATAAAATAAAAAAATAATAATAAATATTTATCACAAATATTTATAAAGATAGTTATTTTTTTTTTAATATGTGTTCTTTATAGAATATAAGTGTCAAATGTGACTAATGATACTTTTGTGATTAACTGTATAAATGATAATCAATCGGTGAAAAGTGAATACATTTACTTATAATATGTCAGAAAATAGACTTGATATGGATATTGATAATCAAAGTGAAGATGGAGAAATAAAGAAAAGCCCTTCGAAGGACATGGATGATTTTAGGTATTGAATAATATGATACTTAATTTTAACCTCAATTTATCGAACTATTAAAATAAATTTTTGTTTTAATATATACTTGTATACTACTTTTTCTTTTTCTTTTTTACTTAAAGTTAATAAAAATCAAATTTTATACAAATATTTAATAATATTTTATATATTATTATAATAATAATTTTATATATTATCATTTAGTTACAATAATAACATTTTCGATTATTGATTTTTTTTTAAGTTATATATGTTATAATATACTTTTTTATATATTGAATGAAATTAAGAAAAATTTATATATTTATGATTTAATTTGATTTTATTTGAAAATAATTTTGATTAGTTATTTTGAAAAAAGTATATTTAAAGTTTTTCAGAGGAGGATGGGGGAGATACAGCAGATTCTTTAGATATAAAACCACCACAAGCTGTTGTCCGTCATCATAAATCTAATTCATCAAGAAGAAGAGACAAACACAGTGATAGAAGAGATCGTAGAGAAGAAAAGGAAAGAAAATCTAGGCATCATGATCGTGGAGAAGATAGACACAGAGATAAACATAGACATCGTAGACATGGCATGGATATTTTGGAAAGATCAGAACGTTCTGAGGGTTCTAAACGAGAAAGAGAGAGACTTGAAAGATTAGAAAGAATGGAAAATCATAGAGATAGAGAATCTAGACATGATAGAAAAGAAAGAAGTACAGGAGATCGTGTTTTAGAAGATCTAAGAGAAAGGTATACAAAATTTCATATTTGTATTTTCAAAAATCGATTTTATTAAATAAAGCTATTTTTCATGTTCAAATTTTTAATTTATAGATTATTAGACAAAAGAAGAGAAAGACGAGAAGATTCGCGAGATATTCGGGATTACAAAGTAGAAGCACGTCGTGAGATGCGTTTGGATGATTCTCGCGAATTACGCGATTCACGTGAACGTAGAGAAATGCGTTTGGAAGATATGCGAGAACGTCGTGATATTCGCACTATTGAAGATATTAGAGAACGTCGTGAAATTCGAATGGAGGAGCATAGACATATAAGAGTTTTGGAAGAACAATATTCTGAAACAGAGCTTATGGAACGGCCCGAGAGAAGTGAGAAACGTCATAAGAGATCACATAAACATGATCGTCTTCGTGAAAGAGACAGAGAAAAAGCAGAGCGTGAGAAGGAACATAGAGAAAAACAATTACGTGAAGCAATGGAAATTGTCACGGAAGAACCAGATGACATAGAAATCAATGAAATACAAATACCGCCAAAAGATCCAAAAGAAATGACTGAACAGGAACTTAGAAAAGAAAGATTACTGGAAGCTGATAGAGAAATGGCTAGAAGAAAAGAAGTTTCTAGATTGGAATTAGAAGCTCGACGAATGAAAAGAGGTGAAAAACGACCTTTAAGTCCAGACAATAATCAAGATCCATCTATTGTAGAATTATCGGATGAAAGTCCAAGTCCTGGCCATTCGGATGAAGTTCGTTCTAAATCTATTGAGTAAGGATTATATTCTGATATAATTCATATCATGATTCTTCACTCTTAAAATTTCATGATTATTCATTTACAGATCTAGACATTCATCTGATGGCCAAAGAAGTATACGTGAGAGATCTTCTGATAGACATTCTTCTGATTCATCTGAATCTAGTAGCGATGATGACGATGAATCAAATGATTCAAATAAAGGATCTAATGCTGATTCAAATGATGGTTCAGATTACAATAATCCAAGTCCATTATCTGTAGATCGATTGGCTAAATCTGATCATTCTGATGGAGAATCACCTGGACATGTAGATTCAAATAATGCATCTAAGAATGCAGAAGAAGAAGAAGAAAAAAAAGAAGAAGAGGAGCCTGAATTACCTCCATATTTACCAGCAATTCAAGGTATATAACTGATTTTTTTTTTGGGATTTATTTTTTTCATATTCTATTTCATATTCTTTTTCATATTCTACAATAAACTTTTTAATATTATAGGATGTAGAAGTGTGGAAGAATTTCAATGTTTAAATCGTATCGAAGAAGGTACATACGGTGTAGTATATAGAGCACGTGATAAGCGTACAGATGAAATCGTTGCTTTAAAACGATTGAAAATGGAACAAGAAAAAGAAGGTTTTCCAATTACTAGTCTTAGAGAAATAAATACTTTACTAAAAGCTCAGCATCCAAATATTGTTACTGTTCGAGAAATAGTTGTTGGTAGTAATATGGATAAAATATTTATTGTGATGGATTATGTGGAACATGATTTGAAATCATTAATGGAAACAATGAATCAAAAGAAACAAGTTTTTATACCAGGTAAAATATAATGAAGTAATTATAATAGCAAGAAATATGAAGTATAAATATTTTTTTTTTATAGGAGAAGTCAAATGTCTTATGCAACAGCTATTACGAGCAGTAGCACATTTGCACGATAACTGGATTCTTCATCGAGATTTGAAAACGTCTAATTTATTGTTGAGTCATCGAGGTATTTTAAAGGTTGGTGACTTTGGTTTAGCACGAGAATACGGTTCTCCTTTGAGACAATATACTCCGGTTGTTGTAACGCGTTGGTATAGAGCTCCTGAATTGTTATTAAATGGAAAAGAATATAGTACTCCCATTGATATGTGGTCAGTAGGGTAAGAAAAAAAAGATTACAAAATTACTTATATATCTTTATTTTTTAATATGTTAGAATTATCATTGAAACTATATGTTTTTTAGATGCATCTTCGCAGAATTATTAAGAATGGAAGCATTGTTTCCGGGTAAATCTGAAATTGATCAATTAAATAGGATATTTAAAGAATTAGGTACACCAAATGATCGAATATGGCCAGGATATAGTAAATTGCCAATGGTGCAAAAAATTCCTTTTGCTCATTATCCCGTAAACAATTTAAGACAACGTTTTAGTTTATCATTATCAGATTTAGGCATTGAACTATTAAATAAGTATGTTTCTTCAAATAACAATCTTTTTATTATTTTATTGTTATCTTTCTTTCCTTTTTTTATTTTAAACAAATATTTTTCTAGGTTTCTTACGTATGATCCTCAACAACGAATTTCAGCTGAAGATGCTTTAAAACATGGATATTTTACAGAAGCTCCATTACCAATAGATCCACAAATGTTCCCTACATGGCCTGCTAAGTCGGAACTTGGTGTAAAAACAGCAAATGCTTCACCAAAACCACCAAGTGGTGGAAAAGAATATAAACAATTAAGAGATGGAGACGATGCTGATTTAAGTAACTCTGGTTTTCACATGGGTCTCACGGAAGGCGGTAGACAACCACCTGTCGGTGGTGGTTTTCATTTAAAATTTTAAATATACATGACAAATTTTATATCAAATGAAAAATAATTGTTTTTCTAAAAAATTATCTTTGTACATAATTATCCAATGAAAATAATTGTATATGCAATTAAAGAATGCTATAAATTTCACATGAAAAAAATATTACATATACAATAATTTTGAATAATTTTATCCTTTCAAACAGCTTTTGATTGAAATACTCTTTTTGAAAGTTTATATTTTATCTTGTTTTATATAATAGTTACAATATTTATTACAATTAAGGAAAGATGAGTGGTTAGAAGATTATGTAAAAAAAATATAATTCTTTATAATTTAGTTTATTGAATTTGGTACATTACAAGCCTTAAAGATTCTTTGAAATGTATATATTAAATAAAATGTATTTCTCCATTGTCAATAGAATTTTAACAATTCTACTTTCCAGCATTGTTCATATTTTTCGGTAGACCTAGAAGTGAGTTTATGAGTTCAGAATTACGTTTAGAATGACAAAGACATGGTGGCAATAGTAATAGTTTTGCAATCCTTTGTAGGTCGTTATTCTAAAAATAGATTTTACATATTTAATAAGATTATTAAATTATTATTAAAGTTATTTATTAAAATAAAACAAAATTAAGTGCATCATATCTCCTTACCACTCCTCTGTCATATGGAAAGTTTAATGCCAACAAATTTCTATAAGAATCTTCAGTTGTTCCAAATGTTTGGTATACAATCCCCATCATCATAATTAAAATTATCACACACTTTCTCGATATCATACTTTATTTCCAAAAACAAATTATCAACATGCGCAAGAATGAATAAAAACGTGTTTTTTTTAATTTTTTTAGTTTAATTTTTAATTTAAATAATTTTATACAGTTACCTGTTTTTACCTGTATTATTGCAAGTATAAGTATTGTTTCTGTTAGCTGTATTCTGTGGAAGTGCTCTGAGAGTTTCAAGCTACGAACTTTTATACGAATGATGCTCGTGGGGGGTTGAAATGTGATTATGACAGACGAATCTGTGAATGACAGTTATATTCTCGAGAAAATATCGAAGAAATTCTTTCGTTCTTTTAAAATTATTATATAAACTTCAATATTACTAGTGAGAATTTTTATTTTTATTATTTTTGAAAATTTTTTTCTTTTTTTAAAAATAATTACAGAACGACATGTCGTTTTATCATGACATTTTTTTGACATTTTTTTGAATCGACGATTTTTGGAGATTATTTTTTCATCTAAAAATATTGATTAAGAATTAGAAATCTTGATCTTTTTTTTTTTTTAACAATCCTTTCAAATTTCATAGAATATAAATAAATTTTTTTTATTGATTTTATTTTTAATATGTAATTAAATTAAATATATAGATGACGAAAGTAAGAATTATAGAGTAAATAAAATAATAGGAATAACAAAAATATTAATATGATCTAACTAATATTCTTATATTGCTTCTTTTAAATTGTCTTGCATATTAAAAAAATTAAAATCAAGTAAGGATTTGACTAAAGAAAATTAATAATCATTATTTATACATTCGAGCTTACTATAACACGAATATGTAGTGAATGAACGTCATTATCTACGTTTACGACCCACTGCTTTCAAGTTAATGATGCGATAAGAGAACATATGTATATATTTATGTTGCAAAAAAAGATTGGAGTTTTCAGATGTTCAACTTTATTTGCAATGCTTTTTGCTCTTGACTCGTTAATGTTTCATGTATTCTTCTTTATCAATTATAAAGTATGAAAAGTACAAAGAAAATTTCATTGATCTCTGAAGAATAAAAATCTCAAGAAATATATTCTATTTGGAAAAATAAAAAAATATAAAATATGTAAATAATGAAAAATAAAAAATGCAAATCAATGATATTTCAATATAAAAATGAAAAAAAAATCTAAATAAGAAAATCGTAATCGCAAAATTAATGCAATCTTATTATATTAGTTCTAATAATTAAGGAATTGTATTTATTCATGAGACACCTACGTAAACATGAAGAGCGATAAATACCGAAGATAGGTTCGATATCCTTTGCATTGAGTAGTTACGAAGAAATAGAAAAGAAGTATGAGAGGACAAAGGAAAAAAGAAGTAAAAGAAAGAGAAGAAAAGAGGAAAGAGAGGAAGGGAGTTCCAATAGTCCATGCACGATAATCGAAATCTTCGCGCTCTGGGATAGGTGTGGGTCACTAACCAGTAACCAGAAAGCTGACTCGAGACTGGTGTCGTGGCCTTGATTCTTAAGATCCTTCGAACTCGAAGCCATGTGTCGCGTGTCGATCATGTTACAGTTTAGTTTCTTTGACACCGAATGTATATCTTCGCGCTACAATCCTTTCGAACGAAGTTGAATAATTTTTTCATTGTTTGTAAAATTTATCTTTTCTTTTTTTTTCTTCTTCTTTCCTTCTTATTTTCGTCGAAACAATCATTGTAATATCTAACATTATAGATGGCGTAATTAAAAGCAGTTTGAGATTTCTTCTTTTTGCAAGTATCTTCGTAATTTTGAACTGACGAACGAATGATCCTCATTACTTCACCAAGGATTCTCTGACTTTTCAAGGTATATTGTAAGATATAAATCACACAGATTGATGGCATGAACGAAACAAATTAACGTTTATGCCTGCCGAATTATCTATTACTTTTCTGTTAATAGCTTTTTCGTGTCATACATATCCATGGGAAAATTTTAAACGATCACTTAAATATTAACTTTGGAAAGAAAAAATGCATTAATTTTTTTTTTTTTTTCTTTTTTTTTTTTCGACCAAATAGACGACATAATGTATCATTTTAGATCAAGGCTCGTGATAAATAGTAAAATAACATCGAATTTATCGTTGGCTATCCTCGAGACTTTCCTTTTCTCTATTTCTATTCATTTCATTCATTCTTTCCACAAATCTGTTATAATTATGTCGCACGCCAGATAATGATATTATATATCCTTTCCTTATAAATCTATTTGTATGTAACAGTTTGTCATACAAGTTATATAGCTATATGATTTAATTATGCATTCCGTTTAGCCGTTAAAATGCTTTAACAGGTTTTACATACAAAAAACTCATACAACCTGTATCGAAACACATTTGACTTCCCGATGCCAATGAACCTCAAAGACTACGTCAATAATCTGTGTTGGCCCTCGAGCACAAACTGGATCTTTCACGCTGGATTCATTCGGAGGAATGAGAAACAATTAAACCTATTGACATTTTTCTAAATTTGAATACCTGTCCCATCCCGTCTTTCTTCTTTTCTTTTTTATCGTTTTATCTTTCTTTCTCTTCTTCTAATCGCGATTCCAGTATTAAAAATTTGTTACTTATAAAAGTTTTTTTTAGTTAATTTAGGTTTCTTGTCCAATCTTTCTTCCTTTTTTCTTTTTTTT